CCTCAATCCATTTTTTTTTTTTTTTTTTTTTAGGTGTATACAACCTCTCCTGTTTGGGAAAAAGAGACTATGTTTTAGGAGGAGAATTAGTTATAAGTGTGCCTCTTAGAAAAGTTTAATCCACTAAGACTTCCCCTGTAACTTTCAGATGTTTGAAACTCTTTGTCACATGCTGAGGCTGTGGTGTGAGATGGTGGCTTTGTCCTATTGCTGTGGAAGTCCTACACCCACGACTACCTGCTTGTAAAGCACAGCCATGTAACCAGTCAGCTCCCTGATCATTTTGCACTGTGGCACCACAAATCATCATATTTGGCACAGGAGAAGAACAAATGGCCACGGATGGGAGCTCAGTAGCTATCCAAGTTGGTACTGCTGGGAAATTTCCTTTTGTTTCAAATTGTGGCCAGCACTTTGTTTATTCTGTGAGATTTTGATGGCTGCGGTCCTTCTTCCTTCAGCAGGGTGTGATACCTGTGCCAGTGTGTGTGCCCACCACCAGTGCAGTCGGGCTAATGTGTGTATTTTCTGCTCTGAGTTGGCAGCAGGTTGCAGTGTATGCTCAGGAGGATATTTCTATGTGTCTTTTCAGCCCCTTCCATCACAACCTAAGTGAAATCTTGTGGAGTTGCTGTGGATGCTATGTATCTTCTTCTCACAAAGTTATTTTTGCTGCCTGTGGCTTGAATGCAATGGTTTTGTCTACCAGATTTTGAACGCCTACTTTCTTCTTTTTCTCTATAGGTGTATGTTCCAAAGGGCCTTTTCCTTCATCTTTTTGTATGTTTGGCTGTCTGGTTTCCAGGTCTTTGGCAAAAAGCTAGTAAGAGGGTTTTTTTTTTGAGGGGGTAATGGTGGTAAACTGCACTTCTGGAGAGACAGCAAGTTGTTCAAAAGTGGTTTTGCCAGTTGTATACAGTGTAATGTCTATGATAGCAAGGCTACTCACTGGAGTAAAAGTTTACCTTTAGACCCGGTGCCTTCTTTAAAGGGCTCTGAAGGTACACGTGTTCTGGTTTATCAAAGAAACTGATAATCCCAGGGAGCATATTAAGTTTGTTTAGCAAGATTAAAAGATGGTCTTCTTGTGTTACTGTATAAACTAAGTGAGTCCTCTGTCAAATTCTGCCGTGTTTTTATGTAATTGATAACAGCAGGTTTATAGGAAACCAGCAGGACTGGTTTGCTTTACATTGCAGACATGTGCCCTGGATGTAGGTACAGTATTTAGCTCCAGTGCTGATACCTAAAGGCAGGTTTGTTTCCACTAATAGTCACCACCTTTAGTCAAAGTTACCCCCAACTCAAAAGTGAAGGAGAATGAGTTGGCATTATCCACTCCTCTGGGATCAGTAGCTGGGGAGTAGCAGGAAACTACTTGAAAGTCCCAAGCCCTTCCCTGGAGGAAGGATTCCCAGGCCTGTAAGTCATTTAGCAAGCACGAGTTGTTGATCTCCGCTGGGTTTCTTGGGCTTTTTCTCTGCCATACAAAGGTTTCAATCAACAGGTATAGGATTTCAGTCACAAAAGTGTCTTGGTTCACATCAATTTTAGAGAGAAAAGTCTCATGTAAGTCACTGAAATTAAAAACTCAGCTCTTTGTGTCCACTGGGATCATCCCTCTGGAGCCAAGTTTTAGTGTTTCCTTTCCACAGTTGCAAATTAGAAGGTTTTCCTAGTATTTCAGGTTGTTACTCTCTCTTACAAAGAAACAGAATGCACCCAGCTGAGAAGAAGACCTTAATACATCTTTTCAAGAACTAATAGCAAGCTTAGACTCTTTCTGCAAAATCATCCTTTTCAGTATTAATAGTGAAGAGAAAAGAGTTTGTTCACATTGTCACCGTCCACCCTGCTGCACAGTAGAGCTGTGAATGAAAAGTGCTTTCAGTGTTCTCCGAATAGTCTGATTCCGCTGTGAAATCTTCCTCAGTGATGCCGGAGAGCTTATTACAGCACTGTTTTATTGAAGCTGGCTCCTGAAAATCCTGTAAGAGAGCTGCAGCGTGGCTGGGCTCCTGTCGCAGCCCTGGACTTGTCCTGCTGCCTGGGCTTGTCCCGTGATACTGGGAGCTGGGATGGAGGTACCAGTAAATGCTGCTGCTATTCATCCAAAGTACACTAGTGCTGCTACGTGCAAAGTAGTTAAGAAAGAAATTATTTTCTCCCAAAGTTTTCTCTGTGGCTTGGGTGTTTCGAGCTCCTTGGGGCTGGTGGGGGGAAGCACCTACAGGCAGGGGCTTTGGAAACTTGTCTAACTGAAGTAGTTGAGGTGACTCTCCCTTCCTGTGTGCTTCATGGCTATTTTTTTTGTAATAGCTTAATTAGTTTAGTTAGGTGAACATACATTGCAGCAAACATTATCCTGGGGTAGGTGTTGAGATGTTTCTTAGAATAAACATGCCATTGAACACTGAAAAATCTGTTGTGCTTTGCTGTCTCTGCACTACAGAGTTCCAGAGTGCTGAGTGACATTGCTTGTACTGAGGCAGGTAGACCCTTTAATTAATTAATTAAGCTTTGCATTAAGTAGTTTTTGATCCCCCTCGCCATGTTAGAGCATGTATTTTGACTATTTACTCCCAGCTCATTGAATAAAAATCGGAATTGCTGGAGATGATCTTGAGGAAAAGATGTAATAGAACCTGGCTTTGACTGTTTTTTTTTTCCCCTGGTTATGGGTAAAGCTGCAAACACTGGGAAGGCATCCCTAGAGCAGATGGTGCTGGCAAGGATCCTCCTCAGGATGGAATTCAAGTTCCTTTCCCCGAGCCAGATACTCTCGATCAGCCGGTGCGCAGCGCTGCTGCAGAGCCTGACCTGGTGCTTCCCGCCTGGGTGAACTTTCGTGGCATTTCTAGACCTGGTTTAAAAATAGCAGAAGTATTCTCAGTAAGATTGAGTTGGAATATAAGTTTGGGGATAGTTTCTATCTGCGTCCACTTCTCCATTAGTCATGTTCCTTTTTCTTCCAACTCTTCACCAGGATCAGCTGTATTTTCCTGGTGAACAATGTTTTTCTTCAGTAGGAGGTGGAAACCTCCATCAGATGGATGCCCAGAGCTTATCAACGCCTGTGGTTCATCTTGGGGATGGTCGATGCCATTTCCTCTTCTTGTATTTCTGCAAAATATTTGTGTAGTAAATTGTTCTTGTGGGTATGGATTGAGTATGCTTCTTATCTTAAAGTGTTGACCCTGAAACATAGCATTTTTTTTTTTTTCTGTATGTCAAGGTTGGAAATCTCTTTGGTTAGGGCCACCCTGAGGATGGGAGGGATTGGTTAAAGAGCCTTTTTGTTTTAAGACTGCAACAATTTCTGTTGAAAATGTGGTTGTTAGAAGTATCTGTCAGGGTGAAGGGAGTAAAATGGTGTATTTTTCCTCAGCTGGTTTTCCTCTGGGTTATCATGCGATATTGGGGTTTATAGTTTGATTTTATTATGGATTGTGCCTTACAGCTCCTGCTCCTGGCTTGGAAGAGCTCTCCTGACATTGGCTGTAGTTTAGGGGTGCAGTAACCCCACGGTTCAGGAGGAACCAGGCAGATGCTAGAGGATAGGATGAGCATGTGAGAGGCTGCGATTTTATGTGTGAAATTCCTTTAAAGATTGTGTTGGGGAAGGGCTAAGACTTGTTTTGAACCATAGGTCAAAGACCATTGTTTTGAAACAAATTTTACAGAGAATTTACTCTGAAAATTTCTAAAATTTTGTATTTTCTAAAATTTCAAGTCAAAACTGATAATTTGCTTTTGAAATGAAAAAATGTTTTACCCGGGTAAAATTGTAAAGAAAACCTTGGTACCCTGGGTGAGCTGGATGTTGAATCTGTCCAAATTAGTGTGTGATGCTGTTGTTAATTGTAGGAGGCAGGTGAGAGTATCTGCTGCCTCTTCAAGGAAGTGTGAGTTTTGTGCCATGCTCACTGATTAAAACACTGATATAGCAATATGTCTCTGTTTTTCCTAACACAAAGAATACTTATCTGGAATACTTTCTGACTAGTTTGAAATCAATTTAAATTCAAACATAGCTTGCTTGTGATTTAGAAGTCACATTTGACTTCATCAAAAGCCCCGTACTGCCCTCTTGTGATAGCTTGAGAATATTGTATGTGCTGTAGCTGTTTTTCTGACATGGAGTATATTTTCATAGTTATGTTTGCAACTGAAATGCAATTAAAACTCTTTGTTTGCCTTATTAGTTTCCAGCATAACTTTACAAAGGTTCATCTTCAAAACTGTGACTTCATCCTGAATTTTTTTTCACTCCCTGCAATTTTTGAAGTAAATTGAGCAAGTTTGCTTTTCACATTGAAAGCTATTTTGAAATTGTGCATCTGCATTTCTTTTAAGACTTGTCTCATACTTTATTTTGTCTATGTAGGTTGCAAATACAATCAAAATGTAATGAAGCTACATTTTTAAAAACTAATTTTATGATTTTTAGTGTAGCCTAACACGTGAAAAAACAAGAAATAGTAGCTAATACATTGGACAAAGCTGATGTTTTTTTAACCAAATATAGAAAAGGATGAAGCATTCTGGTGGAAAACTTTGAGGGGCAGCCAGTTCCACACACGCACTGAATAGATGCTGAAGGTGGTGAGAAGTTTGTTGTTCGTGACCGCCATGCTGATGAGGCACAACTTTGTGTGATGAATGGAGGGGATGATGTTAAGTCTGTGATCTATATTTAGGCCCTATCCGATCTCTCAGATGATACTGGTATCAGGAGTTCCCTGATACTTGACCCTTTTTAGGGCCCTACTACCAAGTAGACTAAGTGGATTTTTGGTCAGAAGCTCTTCGTATCCATGTTAGAGGACAGTACTTACAAATACTTTATGGGGGAGTAGGGGAGAGAAATGAAAAATATATCCATGCCTTTGTGTGCAATTCATTAAAGCAAGTACAAACAAAACAAAGGTTTTTAACCAGTATTTTTTTTTCTGCCTCTCTTCTTTCTTTCTTTCTCCCTTTTTGTTTCCTCTCTTTAGGCACTGCCGCCGTACTAAAAATATGGGGTCGGAAAACCCAAGTCCACAGAACCCTGGCTGTAAGATCATGACCTTTCGTCCCACCCTTGAGGAGTTTCGGGACTTTGGGAAATACATTGCTTACATTGAATCGCAAGGAGCTCACCGAGCTGGGCTTGCCAAGGTGAGTTGCCCTCGCTTAGGTAGTTGAAAGCTTCCCAAAAGCTGCCTTCCCAAAGCTCTGCTTTATGTAAGGTGTCGCTGAAGTTATATCACTTGGAAGCAGTTTGCTTTCATGAAGTCAAGCAGAGTATGTTTTTGAAAATTGTACTTGCAATCTCTGTTTTGGTTTACCGAGAGAGGAAAATCGGAGAAATTACAGGCCTTTTATAAGAGTGAAAGAAATATTTATTTGCAGGATATCTTTTCCTGATCCCTAACTGGAGAACAAGGACATTCCCAGCCCTTGCAGGGATGGGTCAAGGACATTTCTGTGTCCAGATTCTGTTGCTGAGGATACAGGTGGTGGTAGCCATGGTCTTCAGCTCCCCCAGAGTGTAGGGTAGAGGATGAAGCATTTGACCTCTGCTTAGGCTTTGTTGGGGGGGAGGGCATGAATCGTATCTATATGAATGGGGGCAGACTTTTCACTCTTGCCTTTTTTTATGTTCTGGGCTACCACCTTATGCTGACTTGAATCTAGACCTGTAAATGTGTCCTGTATATATGTGTGATTCCCAAAATACTTGAAAGCCCTCTTGACCTTTAGGAAGCAGTTCTCCATCCGGCTCTAAAACATCTTTGTGCTTCCTTCCCATCCACATCTTTACCCTAAAATGGATGAAAGTTATGGGAACTCATGTGAATCTTCTAAACTCCAGTACTTCACATACAACTGTTTGGAAAAAATCAGGTCTAACTGATTAGAAAGAGTTTTTCTGTGGCTGTGTCATGTTGCGCCACAGGCTGAGGGAAGTCATTTGTTCTGACAAGGTGGTTGTTACGTATGGTATTTAGCAGAACTTAATAAAGCACAGCAGAGAAATAAAGCTGTTAGGCATGAAATAATTCTTATTTCTTCTAAAACATAGGTCAATTACTGTTTTTATTACAGTTCTAAATAGAGCTGGGTATTGATAAAAAGCTCTCTGTGAAATGTTTTCTTGTCCACTCAAGTGTACTAGCAATTACATTCCATGAGTTTGCTGGGGTAGATTATTTTAATAGAGGTTGTTGGTGAATTCCAGATGATGTGAAGAAATTACTCTACTTGCAGGACTAAATCTGAGCATTTCATGTTAATTTTTGTGTCTCTCTTATAACTGCAGTTCAGAGCCCTGTAATGCAAGTAGAGCTCATTGTATCCTGGGTGAACCATGCCCACAAAAATCAGTAAACTTGTCCTCCAGTTCCCGTAACTTTTTTTGCTTAATCCTTACTCCAAATTAGATTGCAGATATTTTATTTTTTTTATTCCACATGCCCGCTGAATGTCCTACTGATTGTTCTCTGATCTTGAGCCTGGAATTGTTGGCAGCTCTTCTGTTCGAAATTACAGCTTTTTCTTCCAGATTCAGCACTGCTTTGCAGCAGTTTTTTGGCGCAGATTCCAAGAGTGAGAAAAGAGTTCTGGATGTGTTCCCTATGGTTTTCTTTTGTTCTTTTCTACCCTTTACCACTTTTCATTTAAGGAGTTGGTCCCCAATGTGACACTTACAGAAACATCAACAGCAATAATGCAACAGGATTTTGAGCCTTCCTAGTTAAAAAACAAACCAACCAAAAAAAAAAATCCCCACCCCCTCAAGAAAACCTTGATGTAAGTGATCTTCTAGATGAAATAGTTGTGTAGACTCTTATAAAAGGTTATGGGCTTGTAGAGATGTAACATACTGATAAAGCTGCTGGAGTCTTCATGCAGCTTTGTGGAACGGTAAGTGAGAGAGGAATGCCATTCTGGAGGGAGTACCTGTACAGTCCCTCTGGCATGCAGCGTATTTACTTGGTATAACTATATCTTTTTATCGTCACTGGTCATCTTCTGAGCCCCTGTTCTGGTGGGACTGCTAGCAGGCAGGCGAGCAGCTCTGACCATGTCAGCTAGTCCTGCGCTTGAGCAGATGCAGAGCAGGTGTCTTGTCATATGTGCTGGTTATTTGAGATGCTGCTGTTATCTGATAATCTGCAGCAGCAGGATGAAATACCTTCCACTTCAGCAGTTTTTTCTTCAGTAGAAGTTGTTTTGCCTGTTGTGAACATGAAGTGTTTTTCTTTTTTTTTTTTTTTTTTTTGTTTTGTTTTCGTTTTTTTTTGTTTGTTTGTTTTGTTTTGTTTTTCCCAATTCCAGGTGATTCCTCCCAAGGAATGGAAGCCTCGAAAAACCTATGATGACATAGATGACATGGTTATCCCAGCTCCTATTCAGCAGGTGGTTACTGGACAGTCAGGGTTATTCACCCAGTATAATATTCAGAAGAAACCTATGACTGTTGGAGAATACCGGCGTCTGGCTAATAGCGAGAAGTATGTTGGTGTTAAGTGATCCGCTTACACTGTGAATGGGGGACTTGTGCAGAAAGCTTTTCTTTGTAAAAACAAGTTGAAAAGATGCAGCCTTGTTAAATATGAAGCATTTTTGAGGAAGCTTTTTCTTGAAGACTTATATCCAGAATCCCAAACAAGTTTGTAACTTGGCTTTTGGTATATCTTAGATCTTTTTCTGGGAGTTGGTATAGAAAGATTCTTCAAAGTCAGTACTTGGTTAAGAATCTGCCTGCAAAGAATGGCTTGTGAGTCAAAGAAGAACTTGCAGTGTATTAATGGTTGTTCTGGAAAACATGTTCCTTTGCTGAGGTAGAAATACAAGTACCTTGGAGTCCCCGACCTAGTAGTAATAACATACATGTCTTCCAAAGTGACTGGGAATGTTGTGGAGCACTTCAGTTAGCTGGGACAAGCCAGCTGGTAGAAGCTGCAGTTGCATCCTTTTTTCAGAGTCACTTTCCCAGAGCTCTGCAGTACCTTGGGTTTTAACTTGAGCATTACGGACATCGTGCAATCAACTCTGAAATATTGCTAGTACAACATATACATGAGTGCTTTACCTGCCTTCAGCTCCCTGTGCAATAATTCTGTTTCATGTATCCTTAGGATGGGGATCTGGTGCCTGACATAAGCGCACATCCCGTTTGTCAGTACACACTAAAAGGTTTTGTAGAAAGATTTAAAAGGCAGTAAATTATATGTATCTGAGTAGAATTAAAAATAAAATGCTCCTTCAGTAATCTCCTGAGCGTGCCTACTTTGAAATGCATGCTTCTTTTCAGTCATTTACCTGTCTGTGATGAGTGTTCCTTAGGACTTACTACATCCTTATCATTTCCATTTCTTATCAGGTATTGTACTCCACGCCATCAAGATTTTGAAGACTTGGAGCGCAAGTACTGGAAGAATCTCACATTTGTCTCACCAATTTATGGGGCTGATATCAGTGGCTCACTATATGATGCAGTAAGTGAAATGCTCCTCACTGACTTCCTTATAGCTCTTTTCTCATTGAGGAACAGTAATTCAGAATTTATTTGATTTAGCAACCTTAAAAAAAGCAAATAAGGTATTTTATTTTTTCCTCATTATGAAAGCATGACTAAACTTCACACCTTCCCCAGAGATTCAGAATAATAGAGTCAATGGAAGCTGTGAAAAGCTTAGTTTTACTAGAAAAAAATGAGGAAAAAATTGATTTAAACAAGTTCTTACTAAGTGTGTGGCCAAACATTGTCGAGAGCTCGCAGAAAAGATGGTTAAACAAAATTGGGATGGTATCACAGCAATGTGCCCAGATATATGTGATGGTATGCAGGTAAATTAAAAGTAAGCTACTGATCCTGGTCTCTAACATGCTAGGGTTTGGGGTTTTTTGTTTGCTCTTTTTTTTTTTTTTTTTTTTTTTAATAAAAGGAATAAAAAAATATTTCTGCTGAAACACTTTAGAGAGTCAGAAAAAGCAGCATTTCAAGGAATTGGATGCTTCATAAAAAATACTTTTTGATTCTTAACACAACTGAAATATTTGCACTTGGATTTTTATATTGTAGGCAACTATATTAGGATACAATGCGCCTGTGTGCTAAATTATTTTACAGTTCAAATTGCTGATGCTTTTCCTTGGTGAAATTGCATCCTATGGTTAAAGCAATTCTGTTGTGGTTTCTTCTTTTCTAAATGATAAAGGCTGCTTATCTTTTTACTCTGTTTAGACAGCTAATTTAAAGCAGTGCCCTTTCTTTGTAGTTTTCTGTTGAGTGGGAAATGGCCTTTTTTTGGAACGTTGTCTGCTTGTCTGCACTATAAACTGCGTACTAATGTAAAAGTGGCTTTAATATGTAAAAGTGGTTTAATATGGAATTAATTGGAATAAACTTAGATATCTGAGGCCTTCACAGCCATGGACATCAAAGTTATCCATAGCATTTGGTGCTTTGGTAAGAGTATCACATTCTTGTCCATTCTTGTCCATCAGGGAAGGTGACATAACTAGACACAAATGCAAGCTTTAGGAGAAGTAGCTTCTTCAGTGTACTGAATATGCAGTGTGTTTCCTTCAAGTTCTTATAAGCAGAGATTAAGTAATTGAATTACCAGTCACACCTAAAGAACATTTCCTATTGTCCAGTTACTGACATTGCTGTAAACATTGAGGTGTGAGAGACATGAAAAACATTGTCCTTCTGCATCATGTCACTTTTCAGCTGCTTCCTTTCTTCAGCCCTTCCTCCTCTGCCCCTGGTGTTTTTTTCAGATTGATTTAGAAAGTTTCAGGATTGAGCAGCTTGAGTTTCACTGTCTTGCAGTTACTTCAGCAAGCAGCATGAAGCAGCATGGTGCTCACGTACCTATCAGTTACTTGCATGTTATATGAAGTACACTGGGGAAAAGGGATGAAGGAGACTGTTGGTTTCTTTTTAGAGATTGTATTACTCCTCAGATAATCACAAGGTTAAAGAGTTGTACCAGTTTATGTGACTTCTCTATTTCATATTGAGGTAGAGGAAACCAACTGTCAGATTTAGAACAACTTAGTGCTCTTTCTGTTTGAATATTGATAACAACAGAACTGTCTTCCCTATTCTTTGTCTGAGGCACTGAGCTGATGTAGAGACCTCTGCCACTTTGGCCACATTGAAGTCTAGTGTTTCTCATCAGCTGATACATGTTCATCAGGTAAAGAACATCTGGATGGAATATGTCACTGAGAGAAGTGTATTTTACCCTTAGTTTATCTTGTGTTTATTAGTAGAACAGTTACTTAATGGTAGGGTATCATGTAGTACAAGTGCCTCTTCAGAGAACACATTTAGTGAGAAGCTAGTAATCAATCCCTTTGCCACAAAGCAGTGGTAGTGCATCCTTTTCATGGTTATTGATGAACATTAAAGTAAGCTTTCTGGAAGCAGGTGGAATTAAATTAATGCAGATAACACTAGGATATCCACATTTTAAGGCATTGAAAAGAAGCTGTGGGCTATTATTCTGCTATAACAAGTCCTGATCTGTTTCAGTACAAAACATTTCTTTTGAATTACAGGATGTGGAAGAATGGAATATTGGCAATCTGAACACTCTCTTAGACATGGTGGAACACGAGTGTGGCATTATCATAGAAGGTGTAAACACTCCCTACCTCTACTTTGGGATGTGGAAGACAACATTTGCTTGGCATACAGAGGACATGGATCTCTACAGTATCAACTACTTACATTTTGGGGAGCCAAAATCCTGGTAAGTGATAGAGAACTAATAGATAGTGGCTGTGTACCTTTGCCCTCACTTAGAGACTGCTGCAATATCCTTTTCTTCAGGTCTACCTAATCTCTCACTTCCCATTTTTTTTTCCCCTCTCCTACGCTGCATTTGAAAGCAATTTTACTTACTTTCAGGCTGACTTGTTTGGAAGCCTAATTCTTGACTTTCTAGAAAAGTAGCAGGATTAGTGAGACTTGTTGACATTCCAAGCAAAACCAGATTTCAGCACTTGAGGCTTTTTGGAAACTAATGTGAGAGAGCAAATAAATGGTGATGGGAATATGTGGATGCTTCAGGTGTACTTTAATAGTCAGAGACTGTTGTTCTTGCATTGTGCTGTAGGCAGGAAACATCTGTTACTTTAAAATTTTTATTATTTACATATTTGAATATGCTTACAACTCCAGGGACAAGGTAGGTCAAAGGATTACTTTTTCATGGTCAAATCTTAGAATAATGGTAAACATTTTTCAACACTGTTGATGCATAGACTGGTTGGAAATAACTTTCCACAAAAATAACCAATAGATATGGATGAAATTAAGGAGCTGGGAAATCTGGAGTAAGTTGCTAAGTTACTAAGAGCCGGTATTATTCTTTCTCAAGCCTTCTATTTAAAAGTATAACCACAGAAACTTAGCAACCCAGAAGAGCTTTGCTGAAGATCTTGATGTGACTAATAAATATTGACATTTGCGTGCAAATTAGAGCTTAAATGTCACTGTGAAGCTCCTGTCGTTGTGCCCTGGCAATGGCAGACAAGATCCTCCCATCTCTCTGCAATACGAGTCCCTGGTGACACCAAGTATCTCCAAGCTGCTAGTGCCTGTGGGCATATAAAAGCTACCAACAGCAAAGAGGCTGTAATGAATGGGTAGAGTGTTCTTTTACAGTCTTGAAAAGGAGTGGAAGGACGGGCTGAATCTGTAACATTCAGCTGGAGTCTTAATGTGAATTTTAAACATCTTTCCAACATGTCAGAAAATCTGTTTCCCCAGCATACCTGATTCTTGGTCTCTGTCTTTCAGGCAGATGCAGAAGGATTTTGCAGAATCTCTTATGATACCTCTGTTAAACAAGCTTGATCTCAAGAAACATATCTCTGGATTAGGAATGGAATGTGACATGCTCTCATTTTAGATACTGTCAGTTTTGTTCTTCAGAAGCAGTTCATCAAACCCATTTTTATTCGGTCCCCATCTCCAGTAGATGGTGCCACTAGCACACGAGAAGCTCTTCCTCTCCTTTACCCGTACAGCCAGTGACATTTTCTGTGTGGTGGTTCAGCACATCAGCACATGAGTTGGCTGCTCTTAGTTGTAGGAGCAAATGACCTGAGGTTTGAGTTAGGGTCATGCAGTTACGGCTGTGTCTCACTTCTCCTTTCATGCCTGTGTGATAATCAGTTCTGCCTCATCTGGCTTCTTGCTTTTTGTTCTGAGCCCAGAACAGAGGGTTATCGCTTTCAAAAGGTGGAAATAAGAACAGATTACCTTGAAAAGAGAAGCTGGTTACAGCATGAGAATAACGGCTGTTCTACAAACTCACATTATGAGCAAAAGGTAGAGAATAGATGTGAAATGAAGTATACACAAAGTATTAGTAGCATAGCCTAAACTGTTGATCTTCTTGCATGCATCTTAGGTACTTTATGCTGATGTTTGGTTTTGGGGTTTGTTTTTTTTCTGTTGGGTTTGGTGGGGTTTTGAGGGGGGGAGAGGGTGTTAAATTGGGGTTGTTTTTAGTCTTGTAGGTACAATATGTGGATACCCATATACTGTGTGTATTGTAAGGATTCATTGTATGAAACTGTTGCCTCATCTTTACTAAACAGTGTTTTTTCCTTATATCCTTATGTTTGCTGTTGTTTCTGTGGGAAATACAGATTGCGTAGTAGAGAAACAAACAAAACAAACCTCCAAACAGTAAAACTTGAAACACATTTGTGTAGTGTGTTTGTGTGAAGAAGTTAAGAATCAGAAGGAAGTGGAAGTTGTAGATGGAAAACTGTACATGGCAAATACTGGATCTTGGAAGTTCTTGGTAGCTTTTATTTCTGTCTAATCTTATGATGACTTTGGAGGATGCTGGGGGGGGGTTTCAGTTGTTGAAGAGTTCAGTCACTACTGCCTATAGTTGGAATAGAGAAGTCATAAAATCTTCTTGTAAAGGTGCTCAGATCAAAGCTCGAACATGCTCTAAACCTGGTTGTTTTTTGGTTGTTTTGTTTTAGTGGATTGGTTTGTTTGTTTGGGGGGGTTTTGTTTGTTTGTTTTTTAAAAAAGGTACTTTTACCCCACTTACAAAGGAGGGGAGGATTTTTACCCAGCCATTCTGTGTTTGTATAGTTCTTTTATAGTAACTAATTCTATAAAACATACACGATTGGGGGAAAATGAGAGTGTTGAGGACAGACCGTGTTTTGGGCAAAACGTTTTCCCATTCAGCTGAGTTTTCTTATACAGATGACAGTGTGTAACACAAAACTAGATGTATTGTGACAGGATGCCACTGCTGGTTTGGCAGGCCTCCCTGATGTTCCCTTAAGCATAAGGCAGGAGTATGCCACTTGCCCAAGTCATTTCTTCCTTGTTCTTCACTATGACAGCTTCTGTTAATGAGTTCTCAAGCTCCTCTGTGAGCAAGCATTGGCTTCGGGGGAGTGAATCTGAATACCCCTTTGAGCAGACCTGGAACTTTCCAGGTACCTGAGCAGTCACCCATCTTCTGGTTGCAATTGCAGTCATCTCAGAGCTCAGCTGGGGGAGCTCTTGGACTTCAGTGCTGAAATTCCAGTGGTGCAGCCTGGCTTTACTCAAAGATGGCTAAAATGTTAGTTCTGTTTTTCTGGCACCACCTCTGTGGAAATTTCCCAGCTTCCTTCATCCTTTTTATAGACTCTTTGACTCTGACAGTGATCATCTTAGAAGCACCTCGGGGAACAGCAGGAGTGTGGAGAGTTACGAAGTCTACCAGTTTGGGGTTGAGCTCTAAAATAAGAGGCAGAGTTATTGTTTGGCTGTCAGAGATATTTATATAGTGAAACCAAGGACTCTGTATATTGGTAGCATTCTGCTTCAAAATTGTCTGTTAAAAAACATAACTCTTTCTTCATGTCTCTCAAATTATCTTAGGCTACTTTAGTCCAGACTGTGCAACCAAAGCCCTGCTTTGTAAGGTAGCGTGTAGGAGTGGTGAGAAGCCACCAGCTCTGTTTCCTTGTGAAAGCAAGGTGAGAAGGGAATTGAGCTGATTGAGGTTGTCTCCCAGAGCTCATTCAAGGGGCTTCTGCAAGAAATCTCTATTTTTCTTTGCCGCTGAAGAGGTGGAGTACCTTCTCAGGGAGGTCTGGATCATATGTTCAGACCATAAGAAGCCACCTCGGTGGACACAGATAAGCTGAGAAAGGAATGTGTCTCATGGGTCAGGGAGGATAGTTACTGAAACAGGGACTGTTGCCATTACAGTTAAAACAAGTGTCTGTGGCTCAACAACTGAAGATGGCTTCTTTTTTGCAACCTAATGAGCATCTGCTTGGTCATAGAACTCCTTGATTAATGTGTGTCTCTGTCACTGCGGAGGAGTCCTGCTGCCAACACTTTATTGTACTGTTTCTTTCCATAAGCAGAGTAGAACAGGCTGCAGCAATATGAGTTGTCTACACAGAGTTGTGTCACCGGGGATGGTTTAAAAATTGTTCAGCGCTAAGTGAAGTACTTGAGCAGTAAAGGGTCATCCAGTGGTGAGGGAGAGGAAAGAGGGTAATGGAAGACAGCTTTTTTCCTGCTTCCAGTCTCATTAAATGATGTATCTGTGCCTGTAGATTGCAATGCAATTATTTCTTAAATTCTGTCTTGTACCAGGAAGAATGAGCACTCTTAGATGTCTTTAGCCATAATGATCCCTGCTGCTGCAGGTACCCGTACTGCCCCTTTTGGATTATACTTGCCTCATATAGAAGATCATCATCTTTTCGGATGCGCCATTGCTCAGGCGTATGCATCTGATCTGCAATGTAGTCACACTGCTGTTGTTTTTAACCGGAAAATCAGTCCAACAGGCTGGAGAGGTAGCATGGAAGGTGTGGGCACTTTCCACCAAACCTCCCAGGAATTCGGAGCTGTTGTGTAGCTTCATGTTAAGCTTCTCAGGCAGGGAGCTGCTGGATTGAGTCTCTTGCTTGCTTGTTTCTCAAATTACAATAAAATGTCCCTTTCCTGTTAGTAGTTTAATTACAACCTTTTCATAGTCTGTCTTCAGGTTTTTTCAAAAGTTTGAATGTATTTCATTTTTCAGTCCTATATTAAACCTCTTCTGGTAAGAGTTTTTACTGTATCAATTATACATATTATGTATAATTACCTTATACATTCATATGCTGAGATCTAAAATAGAGCATATTGTCAAACGATGCTAACAGAAGACTGATTTTTATAATGCAGAAGCAACAAAACTGAATGCCAAGGCTCATACTTCATGGTTATTATGGCATTTTATTGAGGAACGTATGCATTTCAGCCTTTGCAATTTCAAAAGCGTATTTTTAAACTCCACCATCACTTCGTTTTGTGTCTATAAAAATGTGCAGTACCTATCTTGAGGGCTTCCTATAGTAGGGAAGTGCCGAAGGAGACTTTAAATCTTGGTAATGTGAATTTGATGGATACACTTTGGAGGTGTAACGTCTCTATCTTGTTTTGTCAACACTGTAACACCCGATTGGATAATGTTATTTTTCTCAGATATTTTGTGACTGATCTTGCTCTGTAGTAACAATATTTAATATACCTTCTGTAAGTACTAAAGAGATGTTACACTGTATTTTCTCTTGGAAACCCTAGGTGTTAAATCAGAGTGACACTGAGGGCAGTAATTGATTTTATAAAATGACCCAATTTTCTTATCGTGATGGATGCTTAATCCCCTTTAATTAAAATACGGAGCTAGCTTTAGCTTTTAAGTTATATGGTCTCCTC